CAAAGATCATGGCCCAGTTCACACAGATGTATGGCCCAGTCTGATAGGAACAGTACAACTTCAAGCATTACTAGGGCTCATTTTGCTCTATTATGTATGATGTTTCCTGCCCTTAAAGTGCCTCCAGTCCTAACAGAGGAGAGGCAGAAAATCCCTTTCCATGGTGTGATGTGAGGAGTACTCTAATAAACCTGTGCTTTAGATGCTTGTCCTATCTTTTCTGATTTCCTAAAAACACTTAGGAATCACTAACCAGATAATTCTGAGACCAAACAGGACTACTGCAAATAAACTCAGTATGTTATTCTATTTTTCAAAGTACTTCAACCTGGCTGCATAAGTTTATTAGGGAGCTGAATCATCATAGGCATTTAACTTCACAATTAACCATCAAGTCTTATTTTTTGATAGGAAACAGAAAGCACAACTTGCTACACATCAGTCAATAAAAAGAAGATACTTTTCCTTCTGTGTCCTAGAAGGTTTCCCTGAAATCTAAATGTAATGCTGCCAAGGCTTACTACTGCTATGGACACTCAAATATATCCATTACCTGTTCCCAGGCAGCTAAAAGATAACACACACGGCCTTGCTTAGCTAGCCGGAGGGATGATACTAGGGTTAAAGTAAGATGCAGTGGCCGCGTCCTCGGCTAAGCTACATTCTTTGCTTTAGAAAAGTTACAGTAAAACCAAACCCATGAGGGTATTTTAATAAACAAATCAACTTCTCTAGGCAATCACAGAGATCCTAACAACCTTACATCTAAAACGCTGATGATCTATTCATAGATGAGAGATTCTATAGGCCATTCTTGAAGTGTTAGGGAAAAGAGAAAGCTGAAAAGAAAACTTATACGACTGCATCAGACAGACACTCAATACCCACACACACCAACTGCAGTAAGAATGGCTCCTCTAGAATTATTCCTTTTTCAAGCATTCGATCAGAAAGACTTGGTTTGAAGACCAGATCTACCATTCATGGCCTGAGGAAGCTGGAGCAAGACCTTTGACCTCACAGCCTCCAACTCGTCAGCTAAACCCATCAGTCAAATGGGGATTAAGGAATCTTCTTACAGGTGGTGCCAATGGTCAAAGGAGACGATGGAAGGGGAAGTCCGAGACTACTAACAATAGACCCTAAACAATGTTCACTAACCTAGATTCAACAGAACTGGCAGTAGGACACCTCTGGTGTTGGGTGCGGATCTAACAATGCTTGATCTTAGGGTATATTAAGGCAAAGGTGAAACCCATGTTATTTACATATTACATGCCCCTGATGAGGACCAGAAACTGTGTTGAGACCCCTCTCTATGCAATAGCTGAATCCTGCCATGGGTAACACAGGGATGACACAGCCATGGTACTCATCCTCCAGGTGCTCACAATATAGTAGAGTGGATCACAGGTTTCCAAGTAGCTGATACAAGGAGAACATGGTACACAGCCCAAACTATACTCCACGGGAGTAAGGGGAGGTTATTTTTGGTGTTGGTACTTTAAATATTTTATAGAATAATTTTGTTATTCTGATGGTTGGAAGACTT